CTACCTGCACGCAGCGTGGCTAACTGCATGCAGCGAGGCTACCTGCACGCAGGGAGGCTAACTGCACGCAGCGAGGCTACCTGCACGCAGCGAGGCTAACTGCACGCAGCGAGGCTACCTGCACGCAGCGTGGCTAACTGCATGCAGCGAGGCTAAGGCTTTAATCTGCTTCCCTGCCTCCTTTTTCAAACTTTAGGATCAGCATAGATAAAGACAGCTAGGACTGATTTAAAGCACTTTGCAGAAAAGAAGAATAAACAATCTGGGATTCACATGGAAATAATAAAATATATTATACTTTTTCTAGATGTTTGTTAATTTGCATAGTTGCTCTTAAATAAACACATTCTCAGAGAAGAAATAGTTGTTATAGATTAAAAAATATAAAGCTGATTAACAGCTTCTCCATTATTAAACTGGTTCATTATTTTTGTAGGTTTGTGACGCCATATTGGAGCATGCTGAACACAGATTTACCTTCATAGCCTCAGAAGGGCAAGATTTATGGACAAAAATTAAACCTGGACATGAAATTATGTTTTTCTTATTGTTGGCATTCATATAAATATACTGGTGTGATAACTTGGTATAAGTCTACTTTGAATTGATAGCGCCCCCTGGAGGAAACTCCACCAGCTGCCACTACAACTGATCGATGTTTTCTCAGCCACTTTCATTCAGTAAAAAGATGTTGGAGTGCAGCTTAATAAAACCATCTGATCGTTTAGGTTCATTTATCAGCTGCTAGAGAACATCTGATTTCTGCACATTTCTACAGACTCACAGCAATATGCTGTATTTTTACTACAGGTTCCAACTAAAACAAAAAATCTTTAAAATAGCTTTTTTTAATCTAACCAGAAAAAGGCTTTTAACCTGTCTTCCTGCAGTTTATTGGGCGTCTGGGTGGGCTGGTGGGGGCTGTGTGGGGGTATGCTGTGACTAATTTCCTAAAGCCGTCTCTCTCAGAATGGGCAACACTCATTTCCCCTCTAAAAATAAAAATCTGATGATAAAATCTGACAGACCCACAACCAGAATCACTGCACTGATTAAAGATATGCAGCAGATATGAATAGAATAGATTTGAACTGAACTGAACTCTACTAAACTGAATTGAATCTATTTCAGTTAAATTGAATGACTGAACTGAACTGGTTTAATTGGAGCTCAAACTGACCTGTTGCTGCTCATCCAGCTGCTAATCTGAGCATCTACATCAAAACAACTGGATGCTTTTCCCCCTATAGTGTTAGAAATCCTGTTTAAACTTCACTGTAATCTATATTTACAGATAATCTGTTCAAACTACAGATTCAGGGATGAATGAATCAAAGGAGCTGTGTCCAACCTTAACGCCCTTCCTTTTCTGGAGGCAGGATGTTGATAAAAGCTTTGTTTGGCTCCTTCTATTGTTTCCCCAGTCTGTCCCAGTGCAGCCATCAAACGCAGGCCAGTAGGAGTCGTCCCCCGGGCAGACGGGCCACAGACCGGCTGGTGTGGAGGACACATGGCGTGGATGTGGGGTTAGGAAGTCCTGCAGGGGCTGATAAGTGACTGCTCTGCTGGACCCCCCCCCCCGGAGCTCATCTGGGTTTTTAAGGAAACTACTTTAGCCCCTGATGCTACCTGTTAGCTTTCATCAAACGCTCATGTTTAAGGTTTAAGATAAAGATTTTTACTGCGGCTAAACTAGCGTAGAAATCATAAAGATCAGTGTGTTTTCAAAGGTGGAGGATGTTAGTGTCCAACAGCATCGGGTTCAAACAGCGTTCAGCTCTCAGATGATGTCACAGTATGATAGAAGAGGCTCTGGAGGAGCTGCAAAGATCCACAGCTCAGGTAGGAGTCTGGATGGACAAGCATCACTCCACTATCAGAGAAACAATAAACCTGGACAGCAGGGGCGTCCAAAGTGGGGGCCGGGGGGGGGGGGGCATCTGCAGCCCTTTGGGCGACATAAGGTGGCCTTTAATCACAATTTCAAGAAAGAGGAAAATTATTACATTAAATAATAATAACAGGATGCAACTTTTTATTCATTCAAAACGTTTTAGCTTTTAGTTTGATTTAACTTCACACATGCCTTTACTAAACCGCTGTCTCAAAAAAAACTAATTTATTAAAGATGGAAAAATAAAGCAAATGAATCCAGGAAAAGTTTTATTGTTTGCTGAGTTATTTTAAACATGAAGGACTTTTTTATTTCCAATCTACAAGGATTTCCACATCTCTCTTCTTAAGAAATTAGAATACTTTGCTTGTTTCATTAAATATTGTGTAATTAGTTGATCATCGCACCTGAAAAACATGGAAAAGATTTTTTAATTCGAATAAAATAAAAATTAAAGTTAAACAGCATCAGAAACTGTTTATATTGTTTGCTTAAAGGGAATCCTTTAAATAAATTGTCTGAATTCTAAGTTAATAATAACAATAATGAGGAATCTAATATTATTATTGTTATAATGGAGCCCTGAGTGGTTTCATTAAAGTCCTAAATCTGTTTGATGCCAAAAACTACTAATTTGCAGCTTTAAATTTGGGAAAATCCACTATGATAACATTCAGGTTTATTTATCTGTTGCTTAAATATTTAAACACGTCATAGAAAAAGTCCAAGTTGTTTTCCTGACTTGTTTTCGCGGCTGCCGTGTGCAGAAGAGCTTCACTATTTAAAGCAGCAGCTATCAGTGGGATGAGATAACGGCCATAAGCAAACATTCCCAGATGTTTTCTCACATCACATTAAAGCACGCTGCTGCTTTTTACACGCTGAGGAGAAAGCGCTGACAGCAGCTCTGCGTCCTCCATGTTTGGGAAAATAAAAGCCTCCTCTCTGGATTCAGCTCCAGCAGCAGGTGGATAATTAAAGAAAAGCAAGTCTTTGGCCTTTCAGGCGGGAAAGAACGGGGGAGGGATCCCTATTCAGCCCATTTCTAACAGTTCAAGGTGGCATGTTGATGTCTGTGAGGTTTAATTGAGTGATGAATGCGGTTTGATCACACACATTCTCTGCTTTTATTAACACAAAAAACTGAACTAAATCAGATTTATTTATTTATTTTTTTGTTGTCTGCTATCTGAATATATAAGAAACAAATTTTTTTCTTATTTCTCACATTAAAGCAATAATCCTTAATGTTTTTCAGGTTTTTAGGAGATAAATATTATATTCTGTCCTTTTTCCAAAGCAGCTCCCCAGTAAAGATTAAATTGGATCTCAGTCTAACTGCAGCCATCAGGTCTCAGAGGTTCGCTACGAAGGATTAACGAACAAACAGCATCATCAAGGTAAAGAGGGTGGTAACTCTGGAGGAGCTGCAGAGATGCTTCGCTTCAGCAAAGAAAAAAAACAAACGTCCTGTTTTCAGTTCTTCACAAACCATAAGAAGTTTAGATGAAAACTGAAATGTTTTGGTTTGGTTGAAAACAGACGTCTGAACTCAGCATCATCTGGAAGCTAAAAACACACTGGAAAAAATCGAAATCTACATCAGTCATTTTTTTATTAAAATAAGTGTATTTGATCTTGGATTGAGGAGGTAAAAGACAAATTTTGCCAATGGAACAAGACAATTTACATTTAAAATAAGAAAACACAATTGCACTGTCTTATTTCAAGTGTTTTTTTATCGAATTATCTTATTTTAAGGGTAAAATTACTCATTCCATTGGCAAACTATCTAATTTTCCTACTCAAATTAGGGGAAAAAACACTTCATTTAAGAAAATGTTACTTATTTGTAGATTGTTTTTCCAGTGCAGGAGAATCCCAGAAAAAAACCTGAGCTGCTGCAAAAGACGGAGACTTATCTTTGATCAGGAAGAACAGCCTGAAAATAACCACATGGACTAAATCAGACCATCGCATTAGTTCAACTAAATCCAACAGATCAGTTCTGGAAATAGTTAAAGAAAACTAATGTTAACAAATACAGAGAAAAAAAATATATTTCAGCTTCTTTCTGTGAGACTCTGGAAGAAACAAACTCCTAAAGAGGAGGTGCTTCAAACGAAAACACTTTGGATTTTAATTTATAATTTACTAAATTACAGAAACAAATAGTGAAAGAGTTTAAAGGAAGTGAAAACTTCTGCAGAGCTTTATATAATCACTGCTCATTGTGGTGCGAGGACTTAAACTGGAGAAATAAACGTAGAAAATCTGTTTTCATACAAAACAAAAGTTCAGGCACCCTTATTAATCTTAATTATTTTTATTTCTAAATATTTGGGTGTTTGCAGCAGCTGTTTCCCTTTCATATATCTAATAACTGATATTTCAGCATTGAACTGAGGTTTATTGGACTAAGAGAAAATGTGCAGTATGCATTAAAACAAAATGTGACAAGTGCAACAATATGTGCACCTCAGCAGAAAGAGACATTAATATTTAGTAGATCCTCTAACCTCTAGTTGCTTCCTGTAGCTTTTAATGAATCCTGGATGAAGGGATTTTTGATCATTCTGCTTTGCAAAACAATGTCCATCAGTTATTAGATATATCAAACTGAAATATCTGTTGCAAAACACCCAAATATTTAGAAATAACAATAATTAAGATTAATAGGGAGGCCCAAACTTGTTCATATGACTGTATCTGAGTGGCTAAAAATCAAAAAGGTTTCCTATTTATTCACTTTCGATAAAAGAGGCAATAAACAACCTGTTGGATCAAACCGTCGACAACCCATAAAGCCGTAAACATAGAAAATCATTCAATCATCTGCAGGAAAGATACATTTAAATAGGTTTAGTTTACTTTCACTCTGTTTTCTTTCATTTTAGCTGCTCTTCTTTTGTACGACTGCTAAAACCAAACTTTACTGCTGTGGAAACTTTGAAAAATGCGTCTAAATGAGAACATTTCCCCGTAACCTGCAGGCTGCATGCGATGCAGAGCCGTTCTGGTTCTGCATTAACATCTCATCCTGGAGAACGATTGAAATGATGGAGCGTGAAAAGAAGCACATGGCTGCAGGTGGAAGGGTACTCACTGAGTGAAAGCAGCGGCCACGTGATCCTCAGAGTCCCTCTCATCCTGTTTCTGTGGGCTTCTTCTTCCAGATGGGCTTCTCCTTCATGCAGCACAGCTCCACAGTCAGTCCCTGGACGTTGTTTCTGGAGATGTTGCACTGATTACTGATGCTAATGTGCCGACACACTGTCACGCCTTTCTCCTGGAGTTTGGATCTCAGAGAAAATGATCTTGCTCAGCTTATTGTTACTTTTTTTTTTTGGCTGGTGGACTGAAAGCGAAGAATGCTTTTGTTGCTCTCTGCACCTTCTTTGTCTCCTCTCTCTGTGCGGAATTGGGGATTTGGGGGAAGAGTATCCCTGTGGTCTCCTTGGCTGCCACTCACTCTCCCACAGAGGCTCCGTCCTGTATTGTGCTCTGGCAGTCCCCGCTCTCCTCCAAAGAGTTCAGCTGTTTGCAGAGCAGCAGCCCTGCCCTGCCTTCCTTATCATGAGAAAGCAGGGGCTGAGCCAGAGAAGTCCAATCCCACAACTTTCTGCTGCTGCTGCTGGGAAACTTTGAATAACAAAGGAAGCGACAAGACAATGTGTTCCCCTTAGTTTTGATTCATTTCTAAAATGGTCTGTTTCTCCAGGGCGTGGGGGTGAAGTCCCATCAGCACCGATGTGCTCCGATCTTTGGAAGAATCTGCTTTGATCCTCCAATAAACTCAATATCAGACAGTTTAACGCAGAACTAACCCATTCAAAGATGACATGACAGCGGGTTAAAAGAGGCAAAAATAGTTTAAACAAACCAGGTATGACCCCTAATATTTAAGTTTTAGAAAACTGTCTGGGCTTTGATTTGAAGGCGCCAAATTCATTTATCTAGTGGAAGCTGATTCTAGTGGTGAGTAGAAACCAGAGAAAGGCGTTTGTGTGAAGATTCTAAGTCATCCAGGTCATGGTCAAGCAAGAACTTTCACTTTAGGAACACCCTGAGACAAATTCTGGTTCATCCCAAATATACGACACCCGGAAACAAGGTTGACAATGTTGTTTTTCGCTGTTCATTGTGGTGAAGAGTGCACAGACCTGCACATTGGAGAAACCAAGCAACCGCTACACGGGGCGCATGGCTCAACACAGGAGGGCCAACTCCTCAGGACAGGACTCAGCTGTTCACCTACACCTGAAGGCTAAAGGACACTTGTTTCAGGACAACAACATCCAGATTCTGGCCAAGGAAGACAGATGGTTTGAGAGAGGGGTTAAGCTATCTTTGTTGACCTGGACGAGTGGTCTTAGATGTAACCTTTCACCTACTTCCAAAGCACTTTTAGGAACAATATCCAGAAGATTCACCTCCCACCCGCCCTCACCCTACTCACAGTTCAATGATACGTGACCAAACCACTCTGACAAAAGAGTAAACGACCCAACAGAAACCCAAAACGACCATTAACACCCCCCACTCCACCCCCCAGGTCACTTCCATGGCCAATCCAGTAGGAGGGATCAGAGCCACCTTCTGTTCCCCCTAATTCTTTGTTTTACCTACAGTATATTTGTTGGATTCAGAAAATGTAGATTTGCAAATAAATAGAAATTGAGTCTACACAGGAAAGAGATTCAAGCAGCTTCTGCAGGAGTGGAAGGAAAAGCCCAACCCAACTTCAAGCTTTCCTTCTCCGAATCCCCTCCTGCAGCCGTCTTTTATTAACAGAACATAACACATGGTTACAAAACGGTATTTGTTCTGACAGAACAATTGATCAGTTCATGAAGACAGAATGATCCATCAGAATGACAAGGCAGGATGGTCTCTTGACTGGATCATGAGACAGAAGTGGAGCATCCCCTCGCACAAATGTTTCATAAGGACACATTCAGTTTATAATCATCATTGAATAAACCCAACAATATTATTCTCAGTGCTTCCCACCCTAGAACTGAAGAAGCTTCTTTGATGAGAGTAGAAACGTTTTCTAGAAAACTTCACATCCAGTTGTCTAAACTGAACCTTCAAGCCACAGAAGGCGCATGAATCCCACTGTTTAAACTTGTTGTGCGTTTCATTTGTCGTAGGGAGTCGAAATGTCCAACTCTCAGGTCACAGATCTCAAAGGGCATGCCCCTGACTGTAAGTCTAAGTCTAGCCAGTTGGAGGTGGCTTCGTGATGACTGGATTAAACCGAGATGAAGAGCATCACAATAATCACTTCAGGAACTGTTAAAAGAAGATGAGCATTCTCCCAAGTTACAACGGTTCGAAACAAGGGCTTCGCCGTGTTTAGAAAGCATCAGATAATCAAATCTGGGATATGAAACAGGTGTTTCCTAGCCTGACGTAGTCCTACTCAATTCTAGCCAGAATATGAGTCTGATGCTGCTCCATAGAGCTGTGATTATGGGGCGTGTTTCGAACGAACCAGGAAAAAAATGCCTCTGCACTCAATTGGATAGACCTACAACCAATAAGAGCAACGGAGTGCGTGACGTATGTTAAGCGACCAAGGGAGCCAGCTGATAAACTAAACTTTTGCCGAATCCCGTAGGAAGGACGCCAAAAACATCTTTCTTTTCAACAAATGCCTTGATCGCGTTTCTCCGTTCCTCTTTTAAAATTAATTTGCTGTCGATATCTTCTAGAACAGACCTAATAGCAGAATCTACTCACCTCAACTCTCCAGCGGCAGCCATTGTTGTTGTCACTCAAGCACGCTTTGGTGACGTGGTTGATTACGTTACTGTTGATCATCTGTCCATCATCGTATAAAGCCCGCCCTGACAATTTGATTGGCCTGACCAGATATTGGGCGAGCATACTCGCGCTACTATTGAGCAATGCCAGACCGAACTTCCCGACCTCAAACGTTGTGGGCGGGACTAAGTTCGGAATGGCACCCAGGCTAGGTGTTTCCTGATATTAAACATGATTGGCGGAGCCGCGTCCCATGCTGTTGTAAAACACAGAGTAACCCACACTTAGATTCGATAAGACAGAGGCACAAAATATCCCCTCTTTAAGTCTGGTTTATTCCTGATGTGTCCACGAGGCCCACATGGCCAAGTGATGTCATTTTGGCCCCCTCCGCGCTGAACACCTAGGAAATTTGTAACTACGCGGACGGATCCGCATGGAAAACATGGCAAGCAGACAGCAGCTCCTGCTAACGCTGGTTTGCAATGTAAACATCTAGAGACATCCTGTGATTTAGCTAATAAATAGCACCTGTATCAACACATTTGGAAAAAGTCCAGGAGAAACTTATACCACCACACTACTTCCCGATGTTTCAGGACTCAGAACATTGAACCCAGAATCCAGGCAGACAGACTGAAGTGGTTTATAAAAGGGTTTATTGACTGCTTGGAAAGTCCGCGGCTCAGCAGCTTGGACTAAATGCCCTGAACCTCTGTAGAGGGGAAATCACAGGTTAGTGACCATGTCACTCTGACGGAGGATGATTACGAGCGTGTGAGTCACTAACCTGGTTATAAAGTTCCGACCGAACCCAGGGGAATGAGTGGAATCATGCTGGAGGATTTTCCACAAAAAATACGCCTCACTCCACCCCCCAGGTCACTTCCATGGCCGCCCAGAGAGTTCCAGGAGCCGAAGCCAATATGGCTGCAAAGCCAGGTGGCAAGCAGAATCCAGCAGATGAGGAAGAGCAGGAGTTTCCGGAAGGAGAGGCCAAAACCGGTGTCAGTGAGATAGCAGAAGTCCAGTCCAGATTATCATAGATCCGATGTGGTACGGTAGGGAAGCCAGGTCGGGAGACAGATCCAAGGTTGTAAGCAGGCAGAAACCAGAAGGAGCAGGTGGATCTGATGAAAGCTTACGATCACCTGGTGGACCTAGGCAGGTGGATGGTATGAAACCAATAATTCAGTCATCAGTGCCAAGATCATGACACAAAGACTAAGCAGAATGTCTCTCACCAGTGCTTCACCATATTTATCGAATGCAGGCAGAGTTGTTTTAGCTTCTAATATTAGACGGGACTGAAAGGATGTTGCGATGTAGGTTCGTTGCGCTTAAAGGTGTCACCTAAATTAACTGAGTTGTTTGACGTAGGTGGGGGGGGGGAGCATTTCCACAGCCACTAAAAGCCGATTGTTCACAGGTTTATATGCGGCTTTGGTCAGTGGGAGCGCGGTATAAGTTTCAGTTGTATTGGTTCATTATTGCCAAAAAAAATTTTTAAATGTGTGTTTGTGTTTTTATTTCTGTGTTTTATGGGCCATATTTAGGGTAAACGTTTAATGAATTCAATAATCCCAGAAAAGTCATTGGTTCGCGCCTTGCACAAACCAATGAACCTCAACCCTAACCCGCCATTTTAAAAGTAAATTTTCAGATAATCTGGATAACGTTTAACATTGTTGCATTTTGAAATAGATCCATGCTAATGTATACAAGAAGAAAAGCAATTCAGTTCGGTTTATTCATATAGAGCCAATTCATCGGTAAAATATTATTTTTGAATGTTTCAATAATTGTTTTTGCTCCAGTCTGTCCTGCTTACTATATACGCGATGTGCGACTCCAAAGGGAGTCTTTTCACGCGAGATTAACAGATTTTATTTTGTATTTTCCCCCAAAGCGGGGGAACTTTGTAACCGCGTCTCTTTACCTGTCAGATCCATGAAAGTGCTGCTTAGTCCGACTCAAATAAACCTGGGCTCTATCTCAGTCGGAGCTACACTGCCCCCTGCAGGAAATTATCCTCATTGACTTTCAAATAGCTCTAAACGCCACGACCTCGTCCAACAGAATTTTCTGTCGGATTGGACGCAAAACTGATTCGGTGTGTTCTGGTCTCCAAATTCTCCATCAGAATAAAGCTGTGACTCTGGCTGAGCTGCTGCGAAACTGTTTTATTAGTTCCAGACTAAACTTTAGACCTGAATTCAGCAGGTGTGTTTTTGCCTTTAGGCGGTTTGACTCTACATTTCACCATCTTTGCAGGTTCTTTACAAACAGGCAATTCAAACTCTGGATAAATAACTATCACAATATCACCATTGAGCCATAAGCATAAGCTTTTAACCTGGGAAAATGTTCTCAAATATTCAAACCTATGTCTGTTTTATAAAATCATCCATGATCTGTCCTCTCCCACACGCAGTCAGTCTGCAAAGATCAGTCGAAATCTAGATAAGTCCTTTTTTCTTAAAATAAGTGAATTTGTTCTTGAATTTAGGAGGTAAAAGAGACATTTTGCCAATTGAACGAGACAATTTACACTTATAATAAGAAAACACAATTGCATTGTCTTACTTCAAGTGCATTTTATCTAAATATCTAATTTTAGGAGTAAAAATACTCATTCGTTTTCCCAGTGAACACACAGAGAGGAACATGAGGGTCGGCCAGAGGAGACCGGGTTTTTCATCTGCGTAAAAGTGCTTGTAGTTAAATAGTCTTTGAATGTCCAGCAGCTCAGGAATTGAACATCAGAGAATTCCCCACATAAACTAATTTCAAAAAGCT